TATTCAAAGCAAAGAGAGTAAATCTCTAGATGCCAAGTAAAGACAGAGAAACATTACTAGCAAAATGGAACTGAGCTACCATGATGAGAGACTGGTATCAAATACTGCCCATGGAGACCTGAGACTCTGAGACCTGAGTGGAGATGTAAGTTTATGTGCAACGCCTTTCATGGCTGAGAAACAAAACTGGGCTAACTGTAGGAGGCTGGGAGGCACAATTTTGCCTAATGAAAACCTCAGTATCTGAGCTTATTTAGCTGAAGTTCCATTAAAAAGAGCCATCCTGCCCTAATCTTAGGGCAAGACAAGGTCAACCCTGTGAACTCAGAATCCTAAGCCTATATTACCAATTTCAAACTAGAGCCAACATTGGCAGAGACCTGAAGAGTTGACAGCAATGTGAAAACTGGTTTATGGCCAGTGTACAGGCACATACAATCATTCGCTGCAGAGAGGCTTCTATGATTGAGAGAATGGACTGTATAAAAACCACCACAGAAAATAATTCTCAAAGAAGTCAACTTTGCAAATAAGAATAAATGTATGAATAAGTTCAAAGCCATGAATAACAGCCAATATACACCCCATTCAAAATGAGAGAACGCACAGCAATGGAAGAGGAATAAAAGAGTAATTCAAAATGAGTTTTTATAAAATTGGAGTTCTTAAAATGTTGGAAAAAAGAAAAAGAGGTGACAAACATACATTAAAAAAGACAGGGGTTTATGAAACAAGAGCAGACAAATAAGAAAAAGAGCCAAATAATATATCTGTAAATGCTAAATAAATCTGAAGTTAGTAATAACAACATAACTAGAATTTAAAACTCAGTGTGTAAGTTAAATAGCACACAGATAAAGCTAATGAAAATTGGTAAACTCAGAAAGAACACAAAGATACAAAGAGAAGGAAAATAGCAACAATCTATAGTGTGTTGGAATGAGAAGGCCAGAAAGTATCTAACAAAAATTATTCTGAGAGATTGAGAAATGGGGAGAAGACAATATTCAACATGCAATGTCTGAAGCTTGAGAACTGATCAAAACTATGAATTAACAGATTAAGAAAGCATTAAAAATTGCAAATAGCATTTACAAAACTATATTCACACTTAGAAATATAGTGAAACTAAAGGACACCAAAGAAAAACAGACAATTTTAAATTCAAAAGATTGAAAAAAAAAACCAATTAACAAGCAAAGAACTTAGGAATGACAGTAGAGTTTGGATATCAACAAGAAAAGCCAGAAGGAGAATAAGTAACATTCTCCACATTCCATACTTTACTATCTATAGATCCTAGATGAAAGAAATATTAAAGAATGAATTAGAGGAAAAAGAATTAACTCAAAAGCTATGAGGGAATGATGATGAAAGACATTTGTAAATGTGTACATGAACTAAGCAAACATTTATTATGTAAAGCAATCGTAGCAATATCTAAGTGAAGGTAGAGATAAAATTAGGTAGAACTAAAGGTCTGAACATAATGATGTATGTTGAAAGAAAGAGTTAAAGCATTTAAGATCTTTGTATGCTAAAAGAGGGTAGAGGTATACTGATGAACTTTAGACAGTCAAATAATATATGTTATAATTTCACAAAAAATTTAAAGAATGAAAAACAAATACAAACTTTTAAGTCAAAGGAGATCAAAAAAGAAATCAAAACATAATCAAATTGAAGGCAAGAAAAGGATTATTCAAAGGAGCATAAACAATAAAATTACACTGAGGAATTAATATTAAAAATAACGATAATCATTACATAATGGTCAAAGGAATGATTTACCAGGAAGATATAACAGTAGTTCTAAACTTTAATGTACTCAAGAAAATAAGAGATACAATTCTTAGAATAATTCAAATAAAAAGTTATATAAAGTGAGGAAAAAAAAGTATTATCTGCTTTCCCTCACTCAGTTTACTTCTTGAAAAAAATGATGTTTACAGTTTGTATACTTAAACACATTCATAAAGATTTTAAAAATTAGGATCTTATGATACACATTTGCAGCTTCTCAGGTTACAGCTTGATGGGAAGGGCACACACACATACAAACATATATAGCCATCCACACAGTGATTAAGCTTAAATTATATGGTTGCTTTGTTTGGCTAAGAACATGGAACATAATGTACATATAGAACATAAGATGGCCCCACAAAGAAAAAGCAGATGTAACTCTTATCATCTTACTTTTTCTTGGCTCTCAGATCACTAATCCAGTAGAACACAGGGCTATAGTTGTTGGAAACATTATTTCATGTTCTTTAGAGGTATTCTATGCCTACAGCTTGTTTGTGCCTTTTTTTTTAAGAATTCACACAGTTCCTACTTTTAATACAGAGCATTTATAAACATTAGGGACAACTTTGTTCTTGAATCAAACTATGCACCAACAAACCACATCTTAATGGGTATTTGGGGAAGGCGCTGACAGAGACAGTGCCCAGGTTTCTCTAAGCAAGATAAACACTGGCTATCTACTGACTCTGATTTATTACCCATTTTTTCTGGTGTTTCAGATACTCTGGTATGAGAACCACAATTCAAAATCTGCCTTACAGTGGACAAATTATTTGAGATGATTGTATTCAGACAGTGGACAATAGGTCACAGAGAACTGTGATCCCTGAAAGAAAGGAAATGGACAAAGAGACCTAACAACAGTCCAGGTTTCTGCCAGGAGGAACTTGCCAGACCATGATGCAGGGGGAGAGAGTCTTCAATGAGCTGAAGGAAATGAGACTGGAGTTTGGGAAGGCTGAAATGTTTGGAATTTGTGAAGCACAGAGGAGGAAGCTACAAAGAGAAGGAGCTGCAGAAATCAGCTTTAAGAATTGGAGTTTGTGGCTGAATATTTTGTAGCACATGCATAGTATGAAACTCAACAAGGCAAGCAGAGAACAACCAGAACTATAAATGGAACTATTCTCACAGCTCTCACAGGACTGGAAGACATGTGAATTCCAACCAGTTAGAGAGGAGGATCTTGTTGAACACTAGGGGCACCCAATAAGGAACCCAAAAGGGTCATTCTGATGAACTGGGATAAAAAAGGCTCTGGTAAATGATGATCTAAACTTGTGCTAACAATTGTTTTAAAAAATCTGAAAATACTTAAACTGAAGTTTTTAAAATACTTCTCTCAGTAATCAACACCCAAAATGGATGGAAGTCAGTAAGGACATAGAATATTTGAAAGGCACTATGAAAAACCTTGACTTAATAGACATTTATAAAACATTCTGCCCAATAATACCAGGATACACACTCTTTTCAAGTGCTATGGAACTTTCACCAAGATAAAACCAAATGCTGGACCATACACCATTTACTCCAGTGAAATATCTGTCAATAGATACAAAATAATGTTTTTCCCTTAGCCAAGAATCTTGTTAACTGTACAGCAAAATACAATGAAAATACAACAAAATTATTATTATATTCTACCAAAAGATAGAAACAACCCAGATATCTATCAACAGATGAATGGATAAACAAAATGTGGTATATACAAACAATGTAATGCTATTCAGCCTTAAAAAGAAATTCTGCTATAAAATGGAAAAAATCTAAAAGACATTATAACAAATGAAATAAGCCAGACACAAAAATAAAAGCATTGCATGATTCCACTTATATGGGGTATTTAGACTAGGCAAATTCATAGAGACAGAAAAGAGAAAGAGATAGGGGCTGAGGGAAGGGGGAAATAGGGGATTATTATTTAATGGGTACAGAGTACAGAGTTACAATTTGAGAAGATGGAAAAAGTTCTGGAGATGGATGGTGGGGAGGTAAAACAACAGCGTAAGTGTATTTAATGGTAATGAACTGTATACCTAAAAATGGTTACAATGGTAAATTTTATGTTTTGTGTTCTTTACCACAATAAAAATATATTCTATCTCCTATGATTTAGGTTGATTGTGCAGGACACAAAAATATAAACCATTTCTATATTTTAACCAGATGGGAGGGCAGGAAAGAGAAAGAATGGGAAAAAAACCAAAAAGGATTGGGAAAAACATAAACATGGAGAAGCATAGAAGAGATTTATCTTTGTATTAATCAAAGTTTGTAACTGTATATCTGCACTCA